TGTTTAATGTGTGTTTAATGTGTGTTTAATGTGTGTTTTCAATCAACTAAACTTTACAGCACTTCACAGAAACCTCCGCTGCCGACTAGTGTTTTGGAGGTGTAACTGCAGAGTGACACAGACACACCACTGCACAAGTATAAATGCTCACAACGGTGTAGGGTCTGCTGCACAAGTATAAATCCCGCTTTTCGATTTTCCCTTCATCTGTATCTCCTGATTTTGTGTCTTTCCTTATCCTCCTGCATCATTTCTAACTCTCTTGATCCACTCTGATCTTGCCCCTCTCAGTAAAGCTGTATAAACTCTCAACATGTTTGTCTTACTAAGACAGACAGGAAGAGCAGTCGGAACCAGAAAAGTTTAGGCTGCATGAGTGTCTGAGTGTAAATGTGTGTGCAATAAGTCAAGTAGGACACTCACTCCTGCATAGAACATCTTGTTGCGGAAGCGACTGTTAAACTTTTCTGGGTTGGCCTCTGGAAAGACACAATCAGAGAGGCAGGGAAAGAGAATACATTAAATATGTTGCAAAACAGCAGAGAGGCGTGGAGTGTACAACAGTGAGAAAACCTGACTCATTTGTGCATGCATGAATGCCCCTGATGTGTCCTTTTTAATATTTGATTTCATTCTGCTCATCTTTCAGTGGAGTAGGATGCATTAACGGGAAAGAGAAGGACTTAATGGAATATAAACAGAGTTAATACAGGATGAAATGTAAAAATAGATTTCCCCGACCTCTGGACTCGTGGAACTCCAGGGTGACGTGAGCGTCGAAGCCCAGGCTGAAGTAGTTGTTGAACACATTCAGAGGCAGCTGAGGACACAGGGAAAACAATAATGTGAGTACGTTTGCATAAATAGTTCACAGTAACACATTAATATATGCTGCGCCTTTCAGTGCCTATCATAATGTCCACCCATTGAGTGGCACTTGTATCCAGATTTGCATATTATGTAAACACATTTCTACATGGATTTTTACTTCCACCACTCAAACATTCATATTTGCCACTTGTAAGGAGACCGTGTCAGAGGTCACCAACCTGTCAGTCTTTATGGAAATCACAATACATTTCACTTGAAAGATAATTCAGTGATCATTCCTGCTGCTCGTGTTTCATGTTGAAACGTCAGTGGGGGTGAAATGCTGTTGTGTTACTGTGATGCAGCTTCATGATATGATTGTATCTGTCACTGAATTAGAGCCGTCACTGCAGATCACTGCTGTTATTTGTTATTATTTACTGTACACGGGGAAGTTCAGGAGAAGGACTAGGAAGAGAGGGAAGGAGAGAATGAATGGAAACAAGAAGGAAACGGAAGCAGAGTGAAGGAGGAAGAAGCAAAGAAGGAAGCAAAGGAAAGAAGACAGAAAAGAAAGCAAAAGGAAAGGGAAGAAGAAGCAAAGGGAAGCGGGGGAAGTAGAGGGGCACAAGAGGAAAGGAAAGAAGGAAAGGGAAGCAAAGTAAAGGAAAGAGCAGCAGAGTGAAAGAGGAATAAGCAAATAAAAGAAAAGGAGACGGAAGGAGAAGCAGAAGGACTGAGAAGGAAGAAAAGGAAAAGAAAAAGGGAAAGAACAGGAAAGTAAAGGGAAGAAGAAATAAAGGGAAGTGGGGGAAGAGGTAGGGCACAAAAGGAAAGGAAAGTGAAGCAGAGGGCACGAGAAGGAAGAAAAGGAAGGAAAGGGAAGCAGAGGAAAGGAGAAAGAAGAGAAGGAAAGAGACAAAGGAAGGGGAAACAGAGGGAAGGTGAGAGAAGAAGGGAGCAAAGGAAAGGATGGGGACGAAAAGGGAAGCAGAAAGAAGGAGAAGGACGAACAGGAAAGGAAAGGGCAGAAGTAGTAAAGGGAAGCGTGGGAAGAATAGGGGCACAAAAGGAAAGGAAAGAAGGAAAGGGATGCAGAGGGCACGAGAAGGAAGAAAAGGAGGGAGAAAAGGGGAAGCAGAGTGAAGGAGAAAGAAGAGAAGGAAAGGAAATAGGGAAAAGGGAAAGGGAAGAAGAAAAGGGAAGCAGGGGGAAGAAGGGCACAAAAGGAAAGAAGGGAAGGAGAGAAGAAGGAAAGGAGAAACAGAGGGAAGGTGAGAGAAGACAGAAGCAAAGGAAAGGAAAGAAAAGAAGATGGAAAGGGAAGGCGAAGGAAGAAAAGGACAGGAAAGAGGGAAAGAATGGGAATGGAAAGGGAAGAAGAAGGAAGCAAAGGAGGGAAAGGAGACAGAAGCAGAGGGAAGAGATGAAGGAAAGGAGACAGAGGGAAGGTGAGGGAAGAAGGAAACAAAGGAAAGGAGACGGAAAGCGAAGCAGAAGGACTGAGAAGGAAGAAAAGTAAAGGAAAAAGGGAAAACAGGAAAGTAAAGGGAAGAAGTAAAGGGAAGCGGGGGAAGAGGAAGGGCACAAAAGGAAAGGAAAGTGAAGCAGAGGGCACGAGAAGGAAGAAAAGGAAGGAGAAAAGGGAAGCAGAGGAAAGGAGAAAGAAGAGAAGGAAAGAGACAAAGGAAGGGGAAACAGAGGGAAGGTGAGAGAAGAAGGGAGCAAAGGAAAGGATGGGGACGAAAAGGGAAGCAGAAGGAAGGAGAAGGAAGAACAGGAAAGGAAAGGGCAGAAGTAGTAAAGGGAAGCGGGGGAAGAAGAGGGGCACAAAAGGAAAGGAAAGAAGGAAAGGAGAAGGAAAGGGATGCAGAGGGCACGAGAAGGAAGAAAAGGAGGGAGAAAAGGGGAAGCAGAGTGAAGGAGAAAGAAGAGAAGGAAAGGAAATAGGGAAAAGGGAAAGGGAAGAAGAGGAAAGGGGAAGCAGGGGGAAGAAGGGCACAAAAGGAAAGGAAAGAAGGGAAGGAGAGAAGAAGGAAAGGAGAAACAGAGGGAAGAATGAAGCAAAGGAAAGAAAAGAAGATGGAAAGGGAAGGCAAAGGGAAAAAAAGGACAGGAAAGAAGGGAAAGGAAAGAGAAGAAGAAGGAAGCAAAGAAAAGGAGAGAGAAGCAGGGGAAAGGAAACAGAAGCAGAGGAAAGAGAGGAAGGAAAGGAGACAGAGGGAAGGTGAGGGAAGAAGGAAATAAAGGAAAGTGAAGCAGAAGGACTGAGAAGGAAGAAAAGGAAAGGAAAAAGGGAAAGAACAGGAAAGGAAAGAAGAAGAAACGCAAAGCAGAGGGCGTGAGAAGGAAGAATAGGAAAGGGAAGGGGAAAAGGGAAGCAAAGGGAAGTAGGAGGAAGCAAAGAAAAGACAGACAGAGGGAAGGTGAGGGAAGGAGGAAGCAAAGGAAAGGAAAGGAGACGGAAAGGGAGCTAGAAGGAAAGAGAAAAAAAGGGAGGAAAAGCAAGCAAAGTAAAGAAGAAGGAAATGGAAGCAGAGGGAAGGACAAGGAAGCAAACAGAAGGAAAGGAGTGAGAAGCAGAGAGAAGAGAGAAGCTGACTCCTGACCTTCTGTGTGCCCTCCTCTGGCTGCCCAGCACCTTTCTCCACCAGGAGGTTCCACCTGTCCAGCTGCACCACTGAACCGTCCTCCACATGACATAAGACCTTGGACACCGGCTCGTCTGTGTAACCCTGCAGAGAGAATCAAACGTACTTCAACCAACACAAACAGAGGCAGAGAAGGAGTGAACTCTCATTACGTTACATACACAGTCAGCAGTTACAGCGCTGAGCCAGTACTTCCACTACAGACGGGTCAGCTGTTGAACCCAGTTTATGTAATTCCAAGACAGAGACAGGGTTCAGGGACCCCAGTTTGCAGAAAAATGTTCCTTTTTTTTGCCTCAACAAAATTTAATGGGTCGCTCTGAAGAACTCAGTGACTCCAGGCATGGTACTGTGATAGGATGCCATCTTTGCAACAAGACAGTTCATGAAATTTCATCCCTGCTGGATGTTCCACGGTCAACTGTAAGTGATGTTATTAGAAAGTGGAAGTGTTTAGGAAGAACAGCAACTCAGCAACAAAGTGGAAGACCATGTAAAATCACAGAGCAGGGTCAACGACTGCTAAGGCGCACAATGCGTACAAGTCGCCAACGTTCTGCTGATTCCACAGCTGAAGAGTTCGGAGCTTGCACTGGAGGGACGAATCATGCTTCTCTGTTTGGCAGTCAGATGGGCGAGTCTGGGTTTGGCAGATGCTGGGAGAACGTTACCTGCCTGACTGCATTGTGCCAACTGTGAAGTTTGAAGGAGAAGGGATAATGGCATGGGGCCCCTCATCTCCAGCGAAGGACGATCTAAATGCTTCAGCATACCAAGACATTTCGGACAATGCTATGCTTCCAACTTTGTGGCAACAGTTCGGGGAAACTTGTGGGAATTCAATTTGAAGTGTCCACGCTCGGCAGTCAGACAGGAGTCAGGTTAATTTCCAGGGCTGGTACCTGTGGTTATTCCACAGGCTAGTTAATAACATGTCGGGCAGGAAATCCAAAGTGTGGGATCATTTTGAGAAGGTGAAGGACGAACCCAAGGTGATATGTAAACTCATCTTCATTGGTCGACTACAAACATGACGTATCATCTGAAACATGGAAGTAGCTACATGCCCATTAGCCCACAGCGTCATTAACAGGCGGCTCGCTCAGTGTGTGACGTGCACTTG